CTCTGCTGCCCCCTAGTGCCCATTATACAGTATAGCCGCCCCTTCCCCCCACCCTCTGCTGCCCCCTAGTGCCCATTATATATATTATACAGTATATAGAAGCACTGAGAATCAGAGAATCAGAGAATCACTCGGTTGCATTTACACTGCAGGCTAATTTCGTAATGAAATCTTCTGGAAGAAATCCTCCGAAATAGCTTTTAAAAGGTTTGTTCCTTTACGAAGCTTAATAGAATTTTACATGTGTTTGTTAAAACACAGGAGGAAGAAGTAAACTTCTCTCTGAGCCACTGGTGTACAGAATAAGGGGAATATAAACCAGCGGTTACTCACCATTGGAGGTGTTTCTGCAAGTTAATATTGAAACCACTCTGGAAATGTTTTCAGTGCATGTATCTTCAGATGGGCTTGTCTTTTAAGTACTCATCCCTGTGCAAAATGTCACCTAGCTTTCACCTGAATTTGTTAAACCATGAGGAAGAAGCAGCCTTCTTATTTCTGGCCCACACATGCACAGATGTTATTTCTGCAAACACCCACATTGCTGTAAAAGCGCGCAGCTTCCAGTTCTCCCCCCTAAGAAATAGAGAGAAACATTTCTAGACATTGTTTGATTGGTAGGCCCTTCTTTTCATGTGCCTGTATATTTATATCTGCCTCTGGAATTTCCACCTCATGCATCCGACGACGTGGGTCTTTGCCCACGAAAGCTTATGCTCCAATACATCTGTTAGTGCATAAGGTGCCACAAGACTCCTCGTTGTTCATAAATGGTTTGTTACTGAGGTTTTGACCATGGTCTGTCTGTGCAGGTTTTTCACTGAAACGCAGATGTAAAAGAGCTAAATCATGGGGAAATACCTGGGGACTATTTTTTTTAGATAAGAACAAGATGGTTCAAGGGAGGGGAGGAGGCGGAGTAGAGGGAGACAGTTCTGGTTTTAAAAAAAGACGTGGGTATTGTGACGCAGATTGGTCCAGCCCACAGGTGGGATAACTACCCCCGTGATGCTGTGAGCCTCTGTCTTTCCCCGGACGGCCTCAAGGGTAAGTTAGCTCTTTGTCCCTCTCTTTTGAGGCCCTTTTTAAATGTCTCGTGCTCTTTTAATATTTCAAAAGAACTCTCTTCTTTACCTTTCCTCATACGGACGAGTGAAAGTTTTCGACGTGTTTCTCTCTCTACCTGCCTTGACATAAGACTCCCCGATGAAGTTTTCTGTCGTGCACTTTCTAAACAATCTCCACTTTGTTAAATATTTTAAATGTCCCTTTCTTCTGTCGAGGGAGGGCAGAACATAAGGGGGCATTAAAACCTTTCAAAAGCTGTAACATGACGCATGCTGTCAAGCTACGTACTACCTTTACATTTGGAAAGTGGAACCTCTAAACTAACCAAGCTCAATGTTAGTTTGTTTTCTTTTACTTTTCCAGCTTGAGGTTCAGTGGGATTTGGGCTCCTACCTTCTTTATTTACTTTTTCAATTTCTGCTCAATATCCCAATGTTACTATATTCAATGTTCCTTTTCTATGAAACAGTTACAGAAAGAAGAAAACAGCTGTCTGATTTTGCCCTGGCCCTCCCATCTAGACGCTCCTTAAAGAGCTCGTTTACTGCTGCAGGAAGAATTCCATCTCCCCACGAGCGCCACAAGGAAACCTGGAAGAGGCGGTGAAAATGTCTGAGTCAAGGACGGTAAATTAGTTGTCTGACGAGAAATGTGTTGTGTTCAGCCCAGAGTCGCTTCCTTTCCATTTGACCAAACTTTTTACCATGATCGGATTGGGTTCAACTCAAACTGGTCCCACGAGTCAAGGATGGTAAAGTATTTGTTCGACGAGAAGTGTGTTGTGTTGAGCCCAGAGTCCGTTTGACCAAACTTTTTACCATGTTTGAATCGGGTTCAACTCAAACTGGTTCCATCTCCCCTCGTCCCCCAATTTCTCAGAACGTCCAGTGAACACAAAAATTGATCTTTTGCCCAGCTCTGCCTGGGATCTTGGCTGAGATCTCTAGGCATGAGACGAATATTAAGAGGTAATTTCAGAGGGTCCTGTGCTAGCTGCACCCATCCCCTGTATCTCCACTTCCCGGCAGCCTTTGAAGAGATCAATTGGGGGATTTTTTTGGCTTTTTATTTTTGGCAGGATGACACTGTCCGGTTCTCCCAGGAGCTCTCAGAGGGCGAGAAGGAAGCCAGTGGGAACAGAAAGGGGAAAGTCCTGAAGTGTCTCCAGAGCCTTGGTATTGCCTGTAATGAGGTAGGCCTCCGTCATGCCCTACAGCGCTAAGGAGAACGCTCCAGTACAGTGGTCACCAACCAGTCGATCGGGATCTACCAGTAGATCTTGGAGCCTCTGACTGGGGATCCTGGCTGGTTTAGCCAAGAGGCTGTCAAGTACCAATACTTCAGATGCCTCTCCCGCTCTGCTGTGCGTCTCCTGCCCTTTGCCTTGGAGCTGCCCTCAGGAGCCTCCTGCTTTCTGTGCAGGGGAGGGAGAAGGGGCTGTCTGGGGCTGAGGGCTCCAGGTGCACATGTATTCAGTGAGTGCTCATTGAAAACTTTCTACTGTGTGATTGTGAAGCTTGACCATGTCTGCAGCAGAGGACAGATGGAAAGGGGCCATTAGAGCGAGAGAGAGCTGGGTGGAGTGCACTATTGATCCCTGACTGACAGATTGCTAATACCAGTAATGGATGGGGATTGCGTAACATGCTTCCTACATGCATCACAGCGCCCTCTGCTGGTTGAACTGCACACAGGGTAAAAGCCAACTACTGCTGCCTACCTGCTGTGGTGCCTCTCTAAGGGTACGTCTAGACTACAGGCTTCTGTCGACAGAAGTTTTGTCGACAGATACTGTCAACAAAACTTCTGTCGACAAAGAGCGTCTACACTACATTCAGTTCTGTCGACAAAGGAAGCTGCTTTGTCGACATGGTAGTGTGGACGCAAAGGACAGTTTACATGCAATAACACCTTCTGTCGACAGAAGGCGTTATGCCTCGTAAAATGAGGTTTACCAGCGTCGACAAAACTGCTGAGTTCTGTCAACGTTATGTCGACAGAACTCAGCGGTAGTGTGGACGCAGGTTTAGTTTTGTCGACAAAAGTCCACTTTTGTCGACAAAACCCTGTAGTCTAGACACACCCTTACTGACATGGTGGAGCTGTGGGGAACCCCCCAGGAGAGTTACCTAGCATTAAAAAGTGGTAATCCTGGAAGGAAGGGAGCTCTACACACCCAACACACCTGAGGGACGTCTCCTCTCTTTGGGCCTTGCAGATCCAGCTTAAGAAACTTTTCCTGCTTCCTCCTTACAGCCGTCTTCTCAAGGGAGAGTGATCTTAGTTTTTTTGGTGCTCAAGGGTCAGTCTCTCTACTGCTCACTGACCCTGTTAGCGCATTATTTCCACAACGGGCTGATTTTGCATTCAATGCCTCTTGGATGAAAACTTTCGATTTTGTGAAAAAATGTCCATTACGGACAAAAAATTAAAATTTCAACCTTAAAATTTTGATATTAAGGGGGTAGGTAGGCAACAGGAGTATCATTTTTGGGTTTTGGAGGTGGCCACTCCCTAACTTTTTGATGAACAGTTTGGTTCCTCCAAGAAAGAAAGAGCCACATTTTATAGGAATAAAAATCATTTCCCGAGCAGCTGCCTTTCCTACATTTTGAGGGCACAGAGACGAGTCCTTCTACATGACACATTTCATAGACTCATAGAACCATAGAGCTGGAAGAGACCTTAGAAGATCATCAAGTCCAGCCCCCTGCGCTAGGCAGGACTAATCCAAACAATTTGTTCCAAGATACAAACAGTTATGGCTCCTGTGAATCATGGAGACCAAGGGTCATAGACACGGAGAACAGTAAAAAGTTCTAGTAAGTTTGAGCCACATTCCATGTCCAATGGAAACCAAAGGGAGTTAGGAACCTGCATTGCTGAGGGGGTTTCAAGTGCCCTGTAGGCCCTCACATGCATCCCTTTCTCGAACAGGTCTGTAACCAGAGCTGAGTACCAGAGAGGTCTCGGCGTTCTTTCATTTGTCATTTTCTCTTCTCCTTTCCCAGGAGACCATGCCCAATATTGCCGTGCTAGGATCGGGCGGGGGCCTGCGGGCCACCATTGCCCTTCTGGGAACCTTGGTGGAGATGAAGAAGCAGAGCCTGCTGGATGCTGCCATGTACCTGTGCGGGGTGTCGGGATCCACCTGGTAGGTGCACGTCTGTAGAAGGGAGAATGAACAACTTTTCCTGAAGAGTTGGAGCATTCTTATGATGATTCAATCCTGAACATTTTCCATGCGTTGTGAGTGACGTCTTCAGAAGCACCTAGGGGTGTGTCCACTCCACACTCAGGGAGCATGGGGTAATGCATCCAATTCCGGCCCCCCACTACAGAAAGGATGAGGGGGCATTGGAGAGAGTCCAGCAGAGGACAACAGAAGTGAAGAGGGGGCTGGAGCTCATGACCTACAAGGAGGGGCTGAGGGATCTGGCCTTGTTTAGTCTGAAGAAGATAAGAGTGAGGGGGGATTTGAGAGCAGCCTTCAACTCCCTGAAGGGAGGTTCCAAAGAGGCTGGCGAGATGCTGTTCTCAGTGGGGGCAGATGGCAGAACAAGGAGTAGGGGTGTGTCCACTCCACACTCAGGGAGCATGGGGTAATGCATCCAATTCCGGCCCCCCACTACAGAAAGGATGAGGGGGCATTGGAGAGAGTCCAGCAGAGGACAACAGAAGTGAAGAGGGGGCTGGAGCTCATGACCTACAAGGAGGGGCTGAGGGATCTGGCCTTGTTTAGTCTGAAGAAGATAAGAGTGAGGGGGGATTTGAGAGCAGCCTTCAACTCCCTGAAGGGAGGTTCCAAAGAGGCTGGCGAGATGCTGTTCTCAGTGGGGGCAGATGGCAGAACAAGGAGCAATGGGCTCAAGTTGCAGTGGGGGAGGTCTAGGATGGATTTCCCTAGACGGGTGGGGAAGCACTGGGATGGGTTTCCTAGAGAGGGGGTGGAATCTCCATCCCTAAAGGTGTTTAAGTCTCGGATTGACAAAGCTCTGGCTGGGATGATTGAGTTGGGTTGGTCCTGCCTTGGGCAGGGAGTTGGACTCGATGACTCCTGAGGGCTCTGCTAACCCTGGGGTTCTCTGATTCTATGATTTTCAGTGCTTCTATATCCTGGGAAATTTCCCGAATTTGGGGAGTTTTTGAGTAAAATGTGTCAAAATGGGAAATTGAGAATTTTCTTGAAATCTGTTAAATCCTGGGAAATTTTCAATGAAATTAAATTTTTGGTTCATTTTGTCGTTCCTTTGGAATAAACATTTGCGGACAATTCAAATTCATCTAAATATGCTCTCAATTGGTCAACGTTGTCACGTGACTTTTACCCTCTGTCATTTTGTCTGAAAAGTTCAGCTTTAATAAAATTATATTTTTAATTATAGGGAGCATCATGTAATCATTAAAATTATTGTCATATATTTCGAGTTAATAGTTATATATGTCAAAATAAAAGTAATAAAACCAATGACTTAACTATACATAAAATAGCCTTTATTACATATAAAAAATAATCTGGGAATTTTTCATCAGATTTGGGAAATTTTTAGCACTGGCCTGGGAAAAGTTGGCAACACGATATAGAAGCACTGATGATTCTCCATCTGAATAATCTTTAACCTTAGTAGCTTTGGTCATCGACAGCAGACATCAGTTTGGTTGCCCTCTGCTGGACCATCTCCACTGCATCCGCATCCTTTCTGTAGTGGGGGACCCAGAACTGGACAGAATACTCCAGATGTGGCCTCACCAGAGCTGAATAAAGGGGAATAATCACTTTTCTGGATCTGCTGGCAACGCTCCTCCTAAGGCCCCCTAATATGCCATTAGCCTTCTTGGCTACAAGGGAGCCCTGTTGACTCATGTCCAGCTTCTCATCAATTGTAACCCCCAGGGCCTTTTTCTGTAGAACTGCTTCTTAGCCAGTCGGTCCCCAGCCTGGGATTCTTCCATACCCAGGGCAAGACTCTGCACTTGTCCTTGTTGAACGTCATCAGATTTCTTTTGGCCCAACCCTCCAATTTCTCTAGGTCACTCTGATCCCTACCTTCCAATGTATCTACCTCTCCCCCTAGCCTTGGCTTTCAGCAGAGGGTCTTGGCTCTCTCCCTGTGACTGGCATGAACTTCCCAGTGGCCATGGTGACAGGCAGCCACGGATGAATTTCTTGTGAAATCTCAGTGGTGTTAGAACTTGCCCGGACGATCGTTCTGCATGGGAAACAGAAGGTTGAAGATGAAAAGGGGGAGGGAGGTGCCCTCTTCTACATCCTTAGTCTCAGCCGCACCCCTCTCTGGTTCATTCCAAGGTGCATGTCAACTCTCTACAAGGAGAAGGACTGGGCAGAGAACATAGAGGACTTGGAAGGACGCCTGCGAGACCAACTTTCCAAGAATTTCTGTGATATTATAAAAAAGTTGAATTTGGCAATACAGGCAGCTGAAGATGAACTCTTCTCTCTGACCGATGTGTGGGAAATTTTCTTTGTCTATAGTATATTGAAACTGGTAGGTTTGCATGTAAATCCAGAGTGTGTGTCTCTCTCTTTCCCCCCCTTCCCCTTCCCATTCCCCCCAGTACTTGGGATTCAAGAATAAAAGAGTGGAAGGATGAATAACTCCTGCTCACATTTTAAAGCTTTCTGACCCCTCCTGGTAATTTTGTAGGTCTCAGCCTCTTCCCTGAAGCTACCAAAGATCACTGTGGTATTTCAACATTTCCAAAGTGCGGTCTTCCAGGCTGTTTATGGGATATGGAGACACATTTCCCATTAAACATTTTGGGAAATTGACTACTGAATCCCGTTGGTTGTTGGTGACAATCTCACCCTAGCGTCTGTTCCCCAAATCCTTGGCTTTCTGGACTGTAAACTGATGTAAAAAAGAGCTAGAAGGACTAAAATTCTGTCATACTCTTGAATTTTTAACAGTGGGCTCTTCTATCTTGCAGGGAAAAAAAGGCTTCACACAGTCCAGTGTCTGGGAGTTGAAGTTAGAGAAATTCAGACTCTAAAACATCTATTACTGACAGTGAGAGTAATTGACTATTGGAACAATTTATCAAATTTTATGGTGGATTCTTCAGCACTGACCATTTTTAAATCATTATTGAATTTTTTCCAAAAGATTATTTAACTCAAAACTATTTTGATATATTTCAGGTCATTTTTGGAGTTGAGATTTTTTCCCTATTAGCTAAACTTCCCAACAAAATTCCATTTCAAAACAAGTTGGAATGTTTCATTTCAAACAGGCCCAACAAAGAATTTCGACTTTTTATTTGCATTTTGACTCAGGTGAAAGAATTCACCACATTTGACTCAAATTTACAAGTAAATTCAGAACTCCAAAAATATTTGTTTTGGTTGAATTTACTACTCACAAAAAATGTTTCGCCAGGATTGACCACTCCCTAATTCCTAGTAATTTGAATTTAATTTAAGTAATGGTGCTAGAAGTGTAGTTCTTATATGGAGGAGACTCACCTATGTGAGGTTTGAGCCTCTCCCCTCTGCCACTCCAGCTACACTGATATTCTTATCGTCTTAACACATGCTATTTCCTCAAAGAGATAAGCAAACTTTTTCTCCAGCATAGACATGTCTTAAGGCAGTGTTTCTCAACCAGGGGTACGAGTACCCTTGGGGTACTTGACAGATGTCTGGGGGCATGTCAACACAACTGAAATATGGAGAAAACCGATTTTTTGTTTTAAGTTTTACAGCACGTGATTATTTTTGTACTTTTTACACCCAAAATTTAATCACCCATCTGGCTACGATTAAGTTGTTTAAACAATGTGTTGCAATGGTAGAAACAGTTTTGTGTCTGAAAATATAGGTACAGGGGTACTTCTTTTTATTTTTATTTTTATTTTTGATAAAAAAACGGTTGAGAAACACTGTCCTAAGGGACTGACCTTGCTTAGATTCTTTTGAAAAGCCCTTTAGATGCTGCTTTGCATCGTTAGGTGCCAAATATTTTCAAAACTCTGGGTCCAATTCCCACAGGCCCATTTGAAAATCTCCACAATGGTCTATACAGACTTGCTTGTTTGTCTGCACAGTGCATGCTAGAAGGAGGGGACAATGATGATGACGATGGTAGTTTCGGTGAAAAGGGTTTAATTGGCAGCCTGACCTAAGTACAGGTTGACCCTCACCAGTCCAGAACCCCTAGCTGGATGTCCACTTATCATGGGTAGGGCCAAGTTTCCAACGGTCTCATCAACTTTGTTTGCAGCTACCAGGCCTGGCTCTCAGTGTTCTGTGCTGTTATTTAGCTCTAATTTACCCCAAACTGTCTTCTAAGAGCCCAGCAAGCAGAGGAAGTGTTGGTGATGCTGTTAGATAATATTGAGCTTCCATGGTCAGGAAAATTCTCTGGTTCAGAACCACGTGTGCCAGACTGGAGAGGTTCAATCTATAGCAAGGGACAGAATTTCTGGGAACTTCACCAAAACTCTTCTCTTTCAGAACTAATTAATTCTCACCTTTTCAGCATGATCCGACCAAGTTATCTCAACACACGGATGCCTCCACAAAAGGGACTAACCCTTACCCCATTTATGCAGGAATAGAAAAGAGCAAATTTAATAAAGAACATGAAACAAGCCCAGGTAAAGAAATGTGGATTTTTTTCATACACCTCTCCTGTCTCTCTCCTTAAGTTTCATTACCCCCTTTACCAAAATGGTTATTGATGTTCTTCATTGTCCAAAAAATATTGTCAAAAAAAAAGAAAATTTCCCATGATTATTTCAACAGTGACTTTGAAAACAAAGCAAATGTCTGTTACATACATTTTTGATAAATGACTCAATGTATTTAAGAAAAGAATCCTTTCTGGAAAAGGAAAAGAAGGTGAGAAACTTCAGAACGTCTCATTGTTTTCCCTTTTTCGATCGGCTCTACTATTAAATGTATCATTTTTAGATTTGACTTGTTATGACACGTTTTCCCTTTCTACCTTTCTTTGGCGTGAGGGATGGGTTGGTGAAGGGGGGGCTGGATATGCAAGGACAGCACATGATGGTTTAGGAGGGAAGCACTAGGAGGAGGAGGTCACAGGAGAAAATGGAATGAAAATGACCTTGGATGAAAGAAGAGACTGAAAAATTGAATGGAGCCAATAGATTGGAGGAGAGGTTGGATTGAGAACTGATTGCCCTCAGATAAAAAGGGAACAAAAAGTTAGCACTTCAAAGGGGCCATTTTACACACCACTTGGAGAAGTTTCAGAAAAGAGAAACCAAAATGGTTAGGAATTTGGAACGGGAGCCGTGTGAAGAGAGATTAAAAAGACTCGGACTTTTCAGCTTAGAGAAGAGGAGACGAAGGGGGATATGAGAGAGCTGGTGTGGACAAAGTGAATAAGGAAAAGGTATTTGTTTGTTCCCGTAACGTCACAACGAGGGGTCACCCAATGAAATTAGTAGGCAGCAGGTTTAAAACAAACCAAAGGCAGTTTTTCTTCATGCAGCACGCAGCCAACTCGTGGAACTCCTTGCCAGAGGATGTTGTGAAGACCAGGACTTTAGCAGGGTTCAAAAAATAGCTAGATAAATTCCCAGAGGACAGGTCCATCAATGGCTATTACCCAGGATGGGCAGGGAGGGATCCCTGGCCTCTGTTTATCAGGGGCTGGGAATGGGCAACAGGGGAGGGATCATGTGATGGTCCCTGCTCTGTTCATTCCCTCTGGGGCACCTGGAACTGACCACTGTGGGCCGACAGGACCCTGGGCTGGATGGACCTTTGGCCTGATCCACCTGGCCGTTCTCACTTTCGGGACCTGGTTTGAATTCACCCCCCACGAGTCTGGTTTCCCTGGCCTGGGGGCATTCGTGAGCACTAAGGCCTTGGGAAGCAAGTTCCAGGGTGGGACTTTGAAAGAACAGAGGGAAGAGAAACACATCGGATACTTGCAAGGTGAGCTGCAAAGTCCCTTGATTCCCAGCTGGGCGAGATATAACTGTTCTGCCAGGGGGGGCTGGCAGTGGGAAGGGCTCGGTGCAATACCTGGGGCTCCTGTTTCACAGTACGACAGAGAACCAGCTCCAGTCTTTACCCTGAACATTACACAGCACCCCTGGGTGCAGCTCAGAGGCAAAACGTCCCCCCTCCCATGCACCCAGCTGGTGTCGAGCAGAAAAAACTCCACTGTTGGGATTCGAGCACATCTGACCACAAGTGAAACTCCCCCCAACAAAGTCTATGGGGTTTCTTCGGGCACCGATCCCCACCCTGTCCCACAGACCGATGTCCCTCTAACGCACCCCTCCCTCCTCTTCCTCCGCACCCCACTCACAGCTCCTGCCCATGGCCAGCAGAGACCCAGACTTCAGAGGCGCATCCGTACAAGTTCCCCTCTTCTTGAGAAGGGTCAGAAGGAAAACGCCAAGCCGTGTTCACTTCATCTGTGACGGACCGGGCCGGATCTGGGCACGGCTGAGGGCATCCACTCCGGGCGAATTGGTCAAATTCGGGGCTCCTTACAGCCCCAGACTGGAGACCATTCCAAACAGGGCACAAAGCAGTCCCACAGAGCAAAACCCCTCGGACATCCCAGCTTTCTCCATGCCCCAAAAAGCCCCAGGTCTGACCACAGGTGAGGGGTTATAGAACCCGATCTCACCTACCCCAAAAGACCAGCTCCCAAAAGACCAGCCACACGTAAGACCAAAAGACCAGCCAGCTCCCAAAAGACCAGCCACCAGTCAATTTCACTTTGGATCTTACCCACAAGATCATGCTGAGGCAGTCCTTTAGAATCTAACATCTAAAGGTTTATTAAGAAGAGAAAGAAATGCATGAGAGTGAGGTTGTGAAGGAGAATACATTACAGCCATCGAATCCCCCAGTTCTCGATACAGGCTCTTCGCAGAGCAGTTATAACTGCTGGCTTAAAAGTCTCTGGTGTACATCCGATGTCAGGATGGGTCCACGGTTCTTTCTGACCCGCTGTTCCTCGCAAGGCTGCATCTGGGATCAGGAGCTGAACTGAAGACAAGATAGAGATTGCCACATGGCATTTTATATCCATCCTTGGTCTCTTCCAAGTTGGAGCAGGTGACATGGCCCAGTGGCCTATCCTTCTGTCCTAAGTCAGCAATCACTATTCTGGCTGGTCTGCAAGTTCCAGACACATTCCTCAGGTGTGTGTTGGCACCTGGAGATTCATTGTCCCGGGAGCCTTGCTAATTAGCACAGTCACTGGCTGAACATACTTTGCCCATTACTCTGCCTCAGACAGAGAATTTTCCAGTATCAACACAGAGTCCATATTTATAACTCCACAGACAGAAACTATACAAGTACATGACAAGCATATACAGAACCAGTAGATCATGAGCTTTCATTTAACACCTCCCATGGCCCCCTTGGGATAGACGTTGGGGCAAACAGTGATCTTTAAAATCCAATAACGTGACCCCATCGCACTGCTATCTCCTCTGTTTCCCATGGTCCTTTTCGTAGAATCAATTTTGAGAAAAAAATAGTATTTGGGGATGCAAAGAATCAGAGAATCCCAGTAGCCATCGAGTGCAGCCCCCCGCCCAAGGCAGGACCATCGTAGAATCAATTTTGAGAAAAAAATAGTATTTGGGGATGCAAAGAATCAGAGAATCCCAGTAGCCATCGAGTGCAGCCCCCCGCCCAAGGCAGGACCAACCCAACTCAATCATCCCATGCAGGGCTTGGTCAAGCCAGGACTGAAACACCCCTAGGGATGGAGATTCTACCCCCTCCCTAGAGAACGAAAACGTTTGCCCACCTCTACTTAAAATAACCGATTTCAGCCAGGACCAATGATTGAACCAAGCTGCAAAAGGACATAGCCCATCGGAAGTTGATCTGCCAGCGCCCACTGGACTTTTCTACCAATGGTCTGCCATCTAGGGAGGGCCTTGATGCCATCGTCACTCCACTGAGGCAAATCAGGTCTTTTCCTTTTCATTTTCAGGTCTCTGGGGAAGTGCCCCTGGAAGCATGAAGGAAAACATAAAATATTTATTAGGTACTGACATTTCTGCTTATTGAAGGTAGGGTTGGGCCATCTGTTGAGTTGGAACAGGTCCCTCATGGAAGAGCCACCCCACCATTCTGTAGCAATGGTCCCAGTTCCTTACCATTCATCCCAGTGACATTATCCCCTGCAACCAGTCATTGCATTGGCAGCAGCATGATTATGAGCATTCGGAGATGGAATATTTATATTTCAGTTCACCAAGATCTTTTGAAATTTTGACTTTCAAATGTCCAAAATTTCCCACACGGTAGAAATTCTGTTTTCTTGGCCACTCTCCTCCCGAGTTACACCAGCGGAAGCCAGATCAAAATCAGGTCCTTGACACCTAGATCGAACACAACCCCAAATTTAATGAAAAAAAAAATGACTCCACCTCACATTTCAGACCCCGGACGAGATTTCCTAGATTACACGGTTCACTCACTCACATTAGCTATAAGAAATGACTCCTAATGCCTGTGTTTTGTTTTCCTTTTCTGAGATCTTATTAAGGACAAATACCAAAGACTGTGTAGAGAACGGCAATATGCACAGTCTATAGCAGGTGAGTCATTGCATTTCTGGCTGGTTTTTCTTTAGCCTGAGGACTTCTCAAGTCCTTTCCAGTTCGAGGGTGCTATGGTGAGGTAGACTCCATAGCCCTGTCAAACTAGGGGTTGTGAGTTCAATTCTCAGGAGGGGCTGCTCTTTGGGAGGTTGTGGCATCTCCATCATTAGAGATATTTGTGGGCAGGTTAGATAAATGTCCTTAAAATCAGCACTCATCCATTCCAAAAGCTTGTCAAAATTATCTGTTTCTTGTGGAAAGTTTAAAGGATGACCAGCTGGCAATTTTTAATGCAGGAAGTGCTGTTAGGAAAGTATCGCCAGGCCTGCTGGGAAGTCATGACCAGCCCAAATCCCAAATTTCAGTTAACACCTGCCCGCCACACAACTTGTTGCAACGGAAGAGAATTCCCAAGATGCACCGAGTGTCCACAGGGGGAAGAGCCTTTCTCTGGGGAGATCCAGCCACTGTGCATTGGCAGGGTAGAGTGAGCTGCAAGTTATCTACCCACCATTGCTGTCCAACGCCAGGTGGAGTTTCTGACACGGGGACCCTGAGCATCTGCCGGGGGTGGAGTTATGGGCGATGAAGAGAAATTTTAACCCGATGCAAGTGAGAGCTGGGGGGAAACCAAACAGGGTGTTGAATAATGAGGCAGACAGGTGAGGAGGATGAATATTTTGGCAGGCAGGGCAATTAGATGGTTCTAATGAGCTGTTTGCGTCTTGCAGAAGGCCTGCGAGGTCTCTCAGGTTCCGTGGTTCTCAGAGGTACGTGGATTGATCCCACCGTGCACAAATTCCCTCCCTAGAGCGGGCTCAGCTGCCGAACCCAACCGAGCTCACAGCTGAGCCTGTGCGGGGAATCCCTCCCTTCCCGTCACCGCTGGGAACTCTGGGAAACCCAGCGACAGCAGGTCGGACAGCGGGGCTGTGGTTACGTCTCCCCCATCGCTGCCTGGCCGAGGGAGGGAACATTTCCCGTAGAGCTGGGGATCCAGGACCAGACTGGAGAAGAGGGGGTGTCTAGTCGTGACTGGCACCGTAAGCCATGTGTCGGGGGAGGGGAGCTCAGATCCGGCCGAACACCTGATGCCAGAAGCCAGGTGTCAGGGGGAGAGTTGACCATTCCATGCCTCCTCCCACAGGTGTGCCTGATGTACCACGTACAGACACACTCAGCAACCAGGGCTCTGACCCTACACGGGCTGTTGCATCCTGGCACCCAAGAGACTTTGGGGTCTGGCGACATCAGACTTTTCCCTCTGTGCCCATGGGGCTACCAGGATTAACAGCAGCCTGGTGGCCACATCATGTCCTCGTTCCTTCCAGCTACTCATTGTTCTTGTGGCTACTGTCAAGGCGTTGTCTTCTTCCTGGAGCTTTACATGCAAGGCTCAGCCGGGAAAGACTGCGAGGGAGTCTTCAGGCAGCTAAAGGAAGTGCTAAAAGGCAAGTGGATCAACGGGGCTAGATTTATCCTCTGTCCCTGTGTCTTATCACGTAAGCTGGGAATTTCAAACGGGATCCAAAGTCTCCTTCCTTTGGCGCATTAGGTAATGTCAGATGGCATGAATTGTTTTGAATGAGTTGCTGAATGAACGAATGAATGAAGTGAGTGAGTGAATGAATGAATGAATGAATGAATTGCTGAATGAGTGAATGAATGAATTGCTGCATGCTAACAATATCCTGGTGTTTGCCAGTATTTCCACAAATTCCCATGGCCATTCAGATGCACACAGGCTCAGGTTTGCAAAAGGGCCTGAGAAAATTTGACCCCTAAATCCTATTGCTTTTTAGAGGACACCATTATTGCATTTGCACCTGTTGAACATCCCTGAGCTCCAGAACATATTGAATGAGTCTCCCATTGGTCGTCTCAAATCTAACCTAATTTTTCCCGTGCTCTGAGCAGGTGAGAAAAGCAAGAATTCCTACCTGAAGTGCTGTGAGGTGCATGAGGCCTGGACTTCAAAGACGTGGGAAGAAAGAAAGACAGAGTTCACTCAACTCATCGTGGTTTTTAAAATTGAATTTCAAGGTGAGTCTTACAGACTCTGCTGTCTCTTAGACGAGGTGTTCCAAAGAGAGATGGTGTCTAGACTTTCCAAATTATTCCTCCAGATGTGGGAGCCAAAGCACCAGATGTGTCCCACGATGGAGGAAAAAAATGGTCATTTCACTGTTTCCCTGCATAATTAATCCTTGGTGAACTTCAGCACAAAAAGGAAGCTTACAAAAAGTGGAAACTTGGACAAATGACCAGGGAGGAGTTTAAAGGTCTAGCTCGAGAATTCCGGGGGGTTATCAGGAAGGCGAAAGCGCAAATGGAATTGCGACTGGCTAAGGATGTGAAGGATACAAGAAAGGTTTCTACAGGCATGTCAGCAAGAAGAAGGTGATCAGAGAGGGTGTGCGGCCCCTACTGGATGAAGGAGGTAACCTAGTGACAGATGATGTGGGGAAAGCTGAAGTACTCAATGCTTTCTTTGCCTCTGTATTCACGGACAAGGTCAGCTCCCGGACTAATGCGCTAAGTGACGCAAGATGGGATGAAGCTGGACAGCCCGTGGTGGGTAAAGAACAGGTTAGGAACTATTTAGAAAAGCTAAACGTACATAAATCCATGGGTCCGGACTTAGTGCATCCGAGGGTACTGAGGGAGTTGGCAAATGTCATTGAGGAGCCTTTGGCCATTATCTTTGAAAAGTTGTGGAGATCGGGAGAGATCCTGGATAATTGGAAAAAGGCAAACGTAGCGCCCATCTTCAGAAAAGGGAAGAAGGATGATCCAGGGAACTATAGACCACTCAGTGTTATCTCAGTCCCTGGAAAAATCATGAAAGGGATGCTTAAAGAATCCATTTTGAGGCATTTGGAAGAGAGAAAAGTGATTAGGAATAGTCAGCATGGATTCACAAAGGGCAAGTTGTGCTTGACCAATCTGATTAGCTTCTATGATGAGGTAACTGGCTCAGTGGACATGGGGAAGTCAGTGGATGTGATATATCTTGACTTTAGCAAGGCTTTTCATACGGTCTCCCACAATATTGTTGCCAGCAAGTTAAGGGAATGTGGATTGGATAAATGGATGGTAAGATGGCTAGAAGGCCAGGCCCAGAGGGTAGTGATCAACGGCTCGATGTCAGGATAGCGGTCTGAGAGGGGATATGATAGAGGTCTATAAAATCATGAGTGGTGTGAAGAGGGCCGATAAAGAAAAGTTATTTATTAGTTTCCTAAATAGAAGAACTAGAGGACACCAAATGAAATTAATGGGTAGCAGGTTTAAAACTAATAAAAGAAAGTTCTTCTTCACACAGCGTGTAGTCAACCTGTGGAACTCCTTGCCAGAGGAGGCTGTGAAGGCTAGGACTATAACAGAGTTTAAAGAAAAGCTAGATAATTTCATGGAGGTTAGGTCCATAAAAGGCGATTAGCCGGGAGATAAAATGGTGTCCTTGGCCTCTGTTTGTCAGAGGCTGGAGAGAGATGGCAGGAGACAAATCGCTTGATCATTGTCTTTGGTCCACCCTCTCTGGGGCACCTGGTGTTGGCCACTGTTGGCAGACAGGGTACTGGGCTAGATGGACCTTTGGTCTGACCCAGTACAGCCGTTCTTATGTTCTTATGTTCATTTTGTATCTTCTCAGAATATGTTTTTAATATGCACGTATTCTTCATTTATTTATTTTGATTCCTGTTAGGAAAAAGGAGTCTGAGCCCCTTTGCAATCATCTAGCAATGTGGGGGCCATTCATCTTAGCTCTTTGGCCAGCCTAGGGTGCAATAGTGAAACCCATACTAGTGACCGAGCCAAGTCCATTGGCATGGGTTCAAACGCATCGGGGCTCAGAGGCTGTCTGGCTACTGATGACTAGTAATGCACTTTGTATGACAAGAAACCTGACTCGGTTTTTTATCAGAGTCTGTGGTCTTTGGGGGAACCCATGGACTGTGTCTAGACTGGCAAGTTTTTCCGCAAAAGCAGCCTGCTGTCTACACCGGCCACTTGAATTTCCACAAGAACACTGACTTCCTACTGTCTGAAATCAGTGCTCCTCCCACGGGTGTGCCTGATGTACCACGTACAGACACACTCAGCAACCACGGCTCTGACCTCCACAGGCTGTTGCATCCTTGTGTCCAGGGGACTTTGGGGTCTGGCAACATCAGACTTTCCCCTCTGCGCTTGTGGGGCCACCAGGATTAACAGCAGGCTGCAGGCCACATCATGTTCCTGTTCCATCCAGGTACTGATTGTTCCTGTGGCCACTGCCGAGGCGTCGTCCTCTTCCTGGAGCTTCACATGCAAGTCTCAGCTGGGAAAGACTGCGAGGGAATTGTGAAGAAGCTAATAGAAATCCAGAGAGGCAAGTGGATCGGCGGGACTAGATTTACTGCCTGTTCCTTGTCTAACCATGTAAGCCGGGATTCTCAAAACCTACCAGCTGTGGTGCCATAGGTAATGTCCAATGTCATGAATTGCTGAATGAATAAATTGCAGAATGAATGAATGAATTGCTCCATGCTGACAATATCTGTGTGTTTGCCAGTATTTCCACAAATTCCCGTGGCTGGTCCAGTACACACAGGCTCAGGTTTTCAAAAGGGCCCGAGGAAATGAACACCCTAAAACCTATTGCTTTCTGCCACACCTACCTTAGCCCCCTTTGAACATCCCTGTGCCCCGAAACGGATCCAATGAGCCTTCTCTGACTTATCTCCCATTTAAGCTCATTTTGTCCTTTATTTATGCAGAAGAAGGTATCAGAATTTCTTACCCGAGGTGCGATGATAAAGATTTGTTCCAGTATTGGACAATCGTGGCAGAAGGATGTGGGGAGATCATTGAATTCATCTGGGAATGTGAACTGGCAGTTGCAGGCAAGTCTTCTAGAAACATTGGTCATGTAGACGGGCTTCCAGATGTTCAAATTCCTGCTTCACATGCGGAAGCAAAGAACCAGATGTACCTAATAGGGAGAAAATTGATCGTTTCACTATATCCCTGTGTAATTCAGCATTTCAGGCATTTCACTTCTTTCTTCCACTGGTTTCCCCTTCAGATTAAGCAGTAAAAATAAAAAGTTAAAATCACCACGATCTGGTTAAAGGGTAGGAAACAAAGATTCATAGAATCACAGAACACGAGCACTGGAAGGGCTCTTGAGAGATCATCAAGTCCAGTCCCCTGCCCTCGCAGCAGGACCAAGCACCGTCTAGATCAGGGGTGGCCAACGCACTTAACAAAGAGAGCAGGAACAACTGTGGAAAAACTGCAAAGAGCCGCATCAGAATTGTTGAGGAAAAAAAAGAAGGCTGACCCAGGGATGGATTGCACCCTCAGCAAGTTTGCGGATGACACTAAGCTGGGGGGAGAGGCAGATACGCTGGAGGGCAGGGAGAGGGTCCAGAGTGACTTAGACAAATTGGAGGATTGGGCCACAAGAAATCTGATGAGGTTCAACAAGGACAAGTGCAGAGTCCTGCCCTTGGGACGGAAGAATCCCAAACATTGGTACAGGGTGGGGACCAACCAGTTAAGTAGCAGTTCTGCAGAAAAGGCCCTGGGGGTTACAGCGGATGAGAAGCTGGTGACAAGTCACCAGGGCTCCCTTGTAGCCAAGAAGGCTAATGGCATATTAGGTTGCATTAAGAGGAGTATTGCCTGCAGATCCAGAGATGTCATTATTCCCCTTTATTCGGAACTGATGAGGCCACGTCTGGAGTAGTGTGTCCAGTTCTGGGCCCCCCACTACAGAAAGGATGTGGACGCATTGGAGAGGGTCCAGCGGAGGGCGACCAAAATGATACTTGATTTGACAGTGTTTATGTTCCTTTCTATTTATCTCACTAGGATTGGACTTCCACTTCTTAAAAGATACCTTTTTGTCCCTCACTGCTTCTTTTACATGGAGCACACGACCTACGAGGAGAGGCTGAGGGAGTTGGGTCTGTTTAGTTTGCAGAAGCAAAGAGTGAGGGGGGATTTGATAGCAGCCTTCAACTCCCTGAAGGGAGCTTCCAAAGAGGCTGGAGAGAGGCTGTTCTCAGTGGTGGCAGATGGCAGAACAAGGAGCAATGGGCTCCATTTGTGGTGGGAGAGGTCCAGGTTGGATATTAGGAAAAACTATTTCACTAGGCGGGTGGGGAAGCGCTGGGCTGGGTTCCCTAGGGGAGTAGTGGAGTCTCCATCCCTAGAGGTGTTTAAGTCTTGGCCTGACAAAGCCCTGGCCGGGTTGATTTAGTTGGGATTGGTCCTGCCTAGAGCAGGGGGCTGAACTTGACGACCTTCTGAGGTCTCTTCCAGCTCTGTGGTTCTATGATTCTATGACCCTTTAAGAAGCAAGCTTAGGCTTTTTGTTCAATGGCCACCATCTTGGGCACCATCTTGAATCACTGCCCCAGTGAACACGGCGTGGGGGGGAGGCAGAGGCCGTGGGGGGTCACAGGAGGGGCTTCTCAAGCTGCATTTTTGGGGGAGAAGAGCTGCATGTGGCTCATAAGCCGCAGGTTGGCCACCCCTGGTCTAGATCATGCCTGACAGATGTTTATTTAGCCTGCTCTTAAATATCTCCAATTATGGAAATTCCACGATCACCCTAGGCAAGGAGTTCCACAGGTTGTCTGTGTGCTGCATGAAGAAAAGCTTCTTTTGCTTCTTTTAAACCCGCTACCTATTATTTTCAGTTTGTGATCTCTAGTTCTTAAGTTACGGAAACAAGTAAATAACTTTTCCTTACTCATTTTCTCCATACATGTCCTGATTTTACAGACCTCTATTATCTCCTAGGAAAAACCATTTCCCTAGGCGGGTGGGGAAGCACTTGGCTGGGTTCCCTAGGGAGGGGGTGGAATCTCCATCCCTAGAGGTGTTTCAGACCCGGCTTGACCAAGCCCTGCATGGGATGGTTGAGTTGGGTTGGTCCTGCCTTGGACAGGGGCTGGACTCAATGGCTCCCAAGGCCTCTGCCAGCCCTGGGATTCTAGGATTCTCTTTTCTAACCTGAAAAGTCCCATCACCGTTTGTTCTGACCCACCTCACTTGGGCTGCAGCTGGGCAGAGGTGATTGTGTTTCTTGGGGAAGGGAATTTAAATGTCCAGTTTCTGTGGGAAAAGACCCTCTCTCCACGAGTTCCCCCTTACCCCAAGCAGTTTTCGGCCCTGTCTGGTCACTGCTCACCCACTCCCGAATGCTGCTCTTTCCTCAACTCCGCTCACCCTCCTGTAGCCATGGGAATGCAAAGAAACGCCTCTTGTTGAGCCTGGGGGAGGACTCCATAGTGCTGGGTTCATAGCAGTTACTCAGCTAGGGGCACTAAGCTACCTGGGGGCCTTTGGATCAATAAAACCCGTCTCTGCCCACCCATTGACTACTGTCCATGGGGGGAAAGGCCGAACCTGTCCACAGATTCCTCCCAGCTTTTTGTTTGAATTGACGTTCTCCTTCGGGTCCCCTTCCTCTTGCTCTTGCCTTCCCAGGATTCATATGGAGCGTAGCGAAACTCTTGTGGAAAATCGCATGCTGCCTTTGCTTCTGGACGTGGGGCACCACCCACAACTTCCTCTACGGAAGCGGTGAGCAACCTCCTTTGGACTGGCCCTTTCCACGTGGGGCCCTACCCCCGTGGCACCATCACTATGGGGAGCAGAGAGTGGGGTGCGGAGGGAGACCTCTAGGGAAGGCCTGGAGGAGGGGCAGCATTCTTATAGCCCCAAAAGCTCTGTGAAGATAACATCATGAAACATCTCACAAATTCTGTCTCTTGTAATCTACCTATCGCCCCATTTCTGTGGCCATATGATCCAAGGGCCTGTTGACAGCTATGAACAGCCCGCAAGGCCGACCAATGTTTTTATTTCCGTGTAACTGAAGGTGAACTGAGATGCCAAACCACAAAACGATCGTGTCTAGGTCACAGAGCAAGGTTGGGGAGGGCTACAGCAGGTATCAACGGAATATTCTTGTGCTCAAGAGGGAGAAGAGAAGGGTGGTAAAAAGAGAATTTCTGCTTTGGGGTCCAACAAACTTCTCTGAATATTTGGTTTTCTTTGTTTTGCATTCTCCTGAGAGCTGGGAAGCTGGGGTGGAAATGTTATTTGCCTGGTTTTATTAGAATGAAATTTCAAAGCATTCCCCATCCTCTTTAAGGCTGGTCCATGATTGTCAAAAAGTGTTTTATTTTCAGCGGGAAAAGATTGTTTGTGAAAATCAACGTTTTCACACACACAAAAAACCCCAAACCAAACCAAAACTCTGTCATGATTTTCCAGCAAAGTCTTGCAATGAAATTGCGCTCACGAGAAACAGCAAATGAATGGTGCAATTGAAACAACTTTGAAATCTCAACTCATTTTTTTTGGCGGTGGAGCAGATATTTTTCTTTTTTGACCAGCTCCCGTTGCCTTTCTGAGTGTTTCTGAGATGTAAATAAAAGGGACTCCATGTGGAAACTGAAAGGAACATGGGGCGGGGGTTATGTGGACAGGCGATTGGCAGCTGGGAGCCAGGGTCAACGCTGAGCGTTAATACGAGTCGGAATTTGCCCTGGGTCGGATCTTCCAAATAAGGCAGCCGGGTTCTGCGAGGATGGAAACTGACCAACCCCTGGTTGGAATCCCTATTTATGGACAATGCCCACAAGCCGCTGAGCCAGTTTGGAGGCTAATTTCTCGATTTTAGAGCTGAGGGTTTTCAAGGAACTTCCAGGCATGGTTCTGGTGCCTACAGATATCGATAGACACGTAGGGTTAATGGGAGTTAGACACCTGGGCCCAGATTGTTAAAGGTATTTAGGCGCTGCATCCAAGCAGGTATGGCGCCTAATTTCCATTCATTTCACTTGGAATGAGGGCCTGTCAGTGACCACTATGGGGCAGCCCTGTCTACATAGGGTTGCCAGGTGTCCGGTTTTCACCCAGACCGTTTGGTAATTGCACCTTCCATCTGGTAAAAAAACCCGGAAAATACGAGACATGTAGAATCTTGGGTGTTTTCTGTTTTCCTCAGACAGAAGGCCGGTGGGGACATTTTTGCCCTGCTGCATCTGGTGAGGGTGGGGGGAGTGAGGAGCGTGGGAATTTAAAAGTGCAGCGACTTTTTTTTTTTTTTTTTTTGCTCAACAGAATTTTTTTCTGCCACGGGTTTTTTTTGAGGGGGAGGTTGTTTGGTATTTTTTGTTAAGCCATCTGGCAACCCTAATACCTAGTGGTTGGAGCAGGAGTCATGCCTAGTCTGAGCTGGTATGAAAAGCCCGGGGCTGGTGTTGAGGGTTGAAAGCAGCGTCAGAGGCCAGGCATCAGAGCCGGATGACCGCCAGGCTGCGGCTCTTAGGCTGTATCGACACGGAGAATGTTTGGCGACAAAGATGCTGTCCACAGGCAAAAGTGAAAACTGGTCAAACTGGTTTTTCTGCCTCCCATTGTCGGCATTTCCTGGCCACGTGGCTAGCTTCTCTGGGGAGAGAGAGAGCAAAGCAGTGTGGGTAAGAATCCCACAGGGCAGTGTGATGGGAAGGCCGAACTGATCCGTGCACTTCTTGAGATTCCCTGGTGGCTCTAGGAGTGCTTGGTGCTGAGGAATGTCCAAGGAACACGGCCGCCTCTCCAGCCCGCCCCCGGCTGCAGCAGCTGCCCCGTCGCTGGGTTTCTAGCTGGGCAGAACAGAAGCATCCCAATGATTTGCTCTTTGTTTGTTCCCCAAAGAGAGCCACTCACTCTGCTGTCAGACACTTTCCAGAGCTTTGAAGGGGGAGGGGCGCTGGCCTGCAGGGCAGCGGAGATCACAGAACGCCAAGCAGAGCCATCACAGCAAATACTGTGGGATACTGGTGGAAGCCAGTTCTTTTGACAAAACAAACAGCAGAGTCCACACTGGCTGTTTGTCAGCAATAAAGGGAGAGACACAAAAGTCTTTCACGGCGTGGAAGTTTTTTGTTGCAAAACTGGGTGTTTTTCCCAACAAAAGTCGCATGGCCATGTAAACGCTCTCACTGTTTTCTCAACAAAAGGCAGTTTTTGGTGACAAACATGCCAGCGTAGACAAGGCCTTAGACTATTAAGCTAGCCCAGAAGCAGGCTAGTTGCTGGTCCTTATTCCTGACAGGGCCTTAGGAAATTCCACGAGGAGTTTAATCCTCACCTGAAAACAAGACCTGGATGCATTTTATGCAGATGATGCCCAAAACACTGGCTTGGCCAACGAAGAATTAATCTCCTTGATCGATGCCGGCATTGCAATCAATTCCGCCTACCCCCTGGTGCTGCGTCCAGCAAGGAATGTAAAACTGATCCTCTCCTTCGACTTCAGCTCGGGGGATCCCTTCGAGGTAACGTCTGTAATTTATGTGATGTCGCCCAAAGCCTGAACTTAGAGCAGGGCACAAATCATAGAACTGGCAGGGACCTCGAGAGGTCATCGAGTCCAGTCCCCTTCCCTCGTGGCAGGACCAAGCACCATCTAGACCATCCCTGACAGGTGTCTGTCCAACCTGCTCTCAAATTTCTCCAGGGATGGAGATTCCGAAACCTTCCCAGGCAACTTATTCCAGTGTTTTACCACCTGGACAGGTAGGAAGTTTTTCCTCATGTCCAACCTTGGTTCCTTGGAATGCTTGTGTCTCTCAGGTTAGGTGCACCTCTAACGCTCTAGCCTGGCCACATTAGTGGGATCATACGATGCGAGTGGAAATGCTGACAGTTTATTTTACAATCTCTTTTCCCTCCTCCCCAGACCATCAGGAGAGCGTCCGAGTATTGCCAGGAAAATCGGATCCCATTTCCCCCGGTAGATCCCCAGGTGATTAAGGACCAAGACAAGCCCTCCAGTTGCTACATCTTCAGTGGAACGGATACTCCCACCGTCATGCACTTCCCACTCTTCAACACAGAAAACTGCCCCGGTAAGTGAGTCGTTCTGCTGCAACTCTGCGGGCTCCACAGGTCTCAGAGCAGGGGAGGGTTACCAGGACTGCCCGTTGCACTGAGGGTGATGGTTCTCGAATGGCGGCTCCTGTCGGAGGCCAGTACTGTGCTACCTTGGCATTTCTTTGCTAGTGGAAGGTGCGGGACTGGGCTGGGCTGGGCTGGCTGGTCCCCCGGGGGAGACTCCTCATGGTGGGATGGGGCAGGGCTGGCCACCCCCTCCCGTAAGCAGCCCATCACGGGGGCAGGACTACTGTTTGAACGAGCTGTTGGCCAGTGTGCCCCCCCTTTCTGTGTTAGGGAAAAAACCCCATTCCAGGCACTTCCCATTGTCCCGGCACAACCAAACCCTGCCCTTGCTATAAGTTAGGGTGAGAGGAAGCTGCCTAACAAATTTGGGGGTCCTAACTCTTAAAATTTAGGAGGAATTCTTGCCCTCACAGACAGCTGGATGGACTTACAGACAGACAGACAAATATACAAACTCTCTAAAATACATAGAGAGACGATGATAACGTCACTAGTTCTCCAGTCACATCTTTGTTTGTTTGTTTGTTTTTTGTGGAGGGGGGAAATTAGGAAAACCTTTTTAACATCCGGGTAGTTTTGCTGTGGAATGCCTTCCAGGGGATGTAGGGGAATCCCCAAGAGATGGTTTAGGAACAGGTTGGAGAACCACCCTTCAGGGTTGGGCTAGATTCAGTTGGTCCTGCCTCAGCGCAGGATGCTGGAAGAGATGTCTCCCAAGCTCCTTTTCAGCCCCACATTTCTGTGATTCTATGAAAACGTCAGGAGTTGCTCCCCCGCCTCTTTAGGTGCAGGGTTCTGTGCTGTTGGGTGCTGGAGAAGTGTATAAACAAAACCGCTGTTCTCCTCTCTTCTGCACTTCCCCACCTCTTTTAGGAGCAAACGAGATACAGCAGTGCAGAGACAAGTTTGCCACCATACGTCCATGCTACGCAAAGGAAGATATCGAAGAACTCCTCACCAAAGCGAAGAAGAACGTGTCCAATAACCTGGATAAGATTCTGAAGGAAATCAAGCAGATTATGTCCTCGCCCACCCCCAAATAATTTAAAAACCATTCTCTTTTTATTCAAGAAAGACAGAAAACTTGGGGATGGACGGACGGGCAGGCGGGCAGGTTTTGCCCAGGAAAACTCATGATACTATATATCTACATACATGAATTTGTTGGTCTCTAAGGTGCCACAGGACTACTCATTATTTTATAGATAAATTCTTATGCACAAATTACAAACGTAGATAGAATTTGTAAGATACTTACTCACACATGTTGGTACATCAATGTTCACGCGCCAGCCTCCTTGGTTGACAACATCGTGATACTCCCGAGATCATTCAGATACGAAGGGCTTTTTCTTCAAATCTACCCTCACCCCACACCTCAAAAAAGAGTTCAGCTCCTTCACGCTTGCTATCTGGTTACCCTACATCTCTTTCGCGCAAACATTGTCACTGTGCAAAATGTTAACATTGCAGCTGTGTGGAAGTATGTGTGTCTGCAAGAGCTCTCTGTGGTGTCTCCCAGTTTTGGGAAGGAAAGGAAATAAGAAAGGAGTTTTGTGGTGAGCAGTGAGGCATCTAACAATCTCATTTACACCCTAGATAGATGTGGAGTAACTTCACTGCAGCTGATGATGTTCCTCCATCCCTAGAGGTGTTCAAGTCCTGTCTTGACCAAGCCCTGGCTGGGATGATTGAGTTGGGTTGGTCCTGCCTTGGGCAGGGGGCTGGACTTAATGACCCCTGAGGTCTCTTCCAGCTCCATGATTCTATGATTCACAGGGAGGTTAGACTCTGGACTGCTATTTACAATCCTGAGGTTTTTTTATTGCTTGTTAATTTCCAAGTTATTTTTTGTGCCATGTGTAACAATAGCCCTTGGCAACCCTCTTCCGCGAGATGAATACTCAATAAATAAACTGGAATGCCCCGTCACTTTTCACTCCATGAGCCTTGTCGCTAGCAATAGACCAGCATTGCTCCACCACCTTCGGAGGGTTGCCCAGTAAGCGAGAGCACAAAGGACTGCACTCCGTTTCAGATCCCCTTGCTCACACGGACTTTCTGTTTTACATGACAAGGCCTTTCAGTGGCGCTGCCAGCTGCAGTGCACAGAACATTGTGAACTCTTCAGGTACAGTGGTAGGAGGGTCACCCCCTAGGGGTATGTCTACACTACCCCGCTAGTTCGAACTAGCGGGGTAGTGTAGACATACCCCAAAATCATGACGGGTGTGGAAAAGTTATTTACTTGTTCTTAACATCAGAACTTGGGGTCGCTAAATGAAATTAATAGATATCAAGTTTAAAACTAACAAGAGGAAGTTTTTCTTCACACAGCACATGGTTGGCCTGTGGAACTCCTTGCAAGAGGAGATTGTGAAGACCAGGACTTTAACAGGGTTCAAGAAAGAACTAGATAAATTCATGGAGGTTAGGTTCATCAATGTCTACTAGCCAGGATGGGTAGGAATGGTGTCCCTAACCTCTGTCAGAGGCTGGGAATGCATGACGGGAGAGGGATTTACTTGATGATTACCTGTTCTATTCACTCCCTCTGGGACATCTGGCATTGACCACTGTCAGGAGACAGGCTACTGGGCTAGATGGACCTTTGGTCTGACCCAATATGGCCATTCTTATGTTCTTATGTTCATTCTTGATATGCCCATTCCTGAAAAGGTACCTCCCTCAGAATACAAGCTTACCTTTCATTTGTTCAAGTAATACTTAACACCAAAATGTCACTAATTAACAGTGTACATCAACGCCAGGAGGTGGACAAGGGTGAGGATTCACCTGCCTCCTCTCCAGAGTGAAGGAGAGCCTGTACTGGAGAAAAGGAGGAACAGGAAAGAGTCGCTGAAGGTCTCACCCCATCAAAGCCGGGGGAAGTACAGCGGGAATGAGTGTGCTCCACAACGGGACGTGAAGGTGATGGAGAGTCACCTCTAATCCCTGGCCTTGGCTGGCTACCCTGACACCAGCACTTGGAGGCTGCAGCCGCATGTCCACCTCCTACGGCAGCGCTAGGCCTCCATGCTACCTCTCTGCCCCGGTAAAGCAACACCCGGGGGACCGCCAACACACGGGGCCTCTCGGCAACTCTGTGCCAAGAGCAGCCCAACCCGCTCTCCACTGTCCCACACCCCGAAGGTCGCAGCCGTCTGCTCCCAACCCATCCCTCTCCCCTACGTAGGAGGCCACCTTGGGTTGTCTGGAAGGGTGACCTCTTTGCCATGTGTTACCACGGTGGATGAGGTTACCTGGCAACGTTGACTATAGGTTCTCTTTGGGAACCAATCCCACGGGGCTACCAAACACATAGAGGTGACTGTGACACGGCACCCGGGGAACCGAGATGGGAGGTGGGTAATCTGTGTATTAGGCAGGAATTCATATTGGGACATTAAACAGAAGATAACAAAGACGAAGAAGACAACGACACCACTCTCTCTCTTTAAGTGTCATTCTCTTCTCCCATAGCCAGTTTTCAAGCTGTGCATCACTGTTGGCTGCAGCCCAGCTATTCCTGATTTCTTCTGGAGTAAGTCGGAGCAGAATTGTTTCCTAATTAACTCCTCAAGATGTGGAAATCTCCATTGCATTTCTCGTGTTACCTCTGGTACTGTAATTCGTTAGTAAGTGTGGAAATTTTCTAATCTTGGGGAAGTGGAGAAAAGAGAGAAGACCAGGGCCGTTTGGGAACTTAGAGGTGTTACAAAGACCCAAAATAGCTAACAACTTACAAACTGGCCAGGAACAGGCTGCGAATCCTGGTGATTGTGAAACCAGGGGCCATGCTCATGAGAAGGAGCTTTCACTATCGATGGACGTTCTGGTGCTTGGGGTGCAGGCTGGGGCTTGTGGGTGCTGGCTCCATTGTCTGTTTCTTTATGTTGGTTTCTGTGCGGATCGTGCTACGCTGGGACATGTGTGCAGATAATTGTGTGTGGTGCACAAGGGTTGTGTGTTCTGCTTGGAGACTGGAAAGGGCTGGGAAGGATTCTGAGGGCTGACAGAGGAGCAGCACGAGAGGTAGTTATGATTTGTGTGGGGGTTGTCTTACACTGACTGATATAAGTTGATTTGGGGGGGCTGTACTATTGGAATTTGTGTGTGAGAATTGTTTTATTGTGAGGTGGTTGTGTTGATTTGTCACCATTCTGGATGTTCCCTTTTTTCACGCCCCCAGCGAATGTCATTCCTCGGCTCATTGGGTTTGATGTCCTTCATTTTTTGCCCTTCACTCTGTGCCTCAGCCTTTCGGGTGTGGTCCTGATGTGCTGAGCTGTTCGTCTGTCCCCTTCCTCCGCTCTGCCTGGGGTCCCACCTTGCGCGGGATTCCTTCGGGGTTTGGAAGCTGCAGAATGACACATGGAGTCACCACCCTGGGATCGTATTAGAGTAAATTTCACCTAGCCACTCCTGGGCACCGTTTGGAACTTCGACCGAGCCTGCCCCGGTTTTCCCACGGAAAGTTTCTCTCTGTGGCTATTCGGCAAATACACCCCTTGAAATTTCTGTCAGCATGTCACAATCCTGACCTGCTGCACTCTGTATGAGGTCATAATTCTCAGCTGGGCTAATGATCTTCTTGACGGGTTAATGTCTGTTAATTCCATTAGGTGAGCCCTAGTTCTTGTGTTATGGGAAAGAGGAAATAACACTTCCTTCACTTTCTTCACACTGGTCGTGGTTTTATAGACTTCTACCATATCCCCCACTTAATCGTCTCTTTTCCAAGCTGAGAAGTCCAAGTCTTTCTAACCTCTCCTCACAAGGTAGCCGTCCTGCTCCCCTAATCATTTCTGTTGCTCTTTTCTGAACCTTTTCCAATGCCAAGAGATCTTTTTGGAGAAGGAGCTGTCATACCTGAACACAGTGTCCAAGATGTGGGCGTAACGTGGATGTGGAGAGAAGCAATATGATATTGTCTGTCTGATTCTCTATCTCTTTCTTAATGACTCACAGCAGTCTATTTGCATGTTTGACAGCTGCAGCACATTGAGTGGCTGTTTCCAGAGAAGTGTCCATGGTGACTCGAAGATTCTCTCTTGCGTGGTAATAGCTATCTCCGTCTCCATTATTGTCCAAGTAGAGTTGGGATTATGTTTTTCAACGTGTATAACTCTGCATTTTCAAACACTGAATTTCATCCGCCATTGTGTTGCTCTTTCTATCCTCTGCATTCTCCTTTGAACTTCAGTACCTTGAATAATTTTCTATTGTCCACATATTTTTCTACTTTGCTGTTAATCCCTTTCTCTTGATCATGCATGAGTGTGCTGAAAAGCCCTCATCCCAGTATTGAGTCCTGGGAGATACCGCTATTTACCTCTTTCTATTCCAAAACCCGGCCATTTATTCCTTCCCTTTGTGTCCAGTTACCAATTGTCACTTCCTTCCGGATGCTCCGTCCATGGGGCGCTGTGCATCCCACCGCTGCCACCAGCATCACTGAAGTCACCGGGTCCTGCACCCCCCTCCGCAGTGAGAGGAGACTCAGCCAGCTGGTAGAAGAGGAGGATTATTATTTAACTGGGACACAACGCAGAGCAGACTTTTCAGTCCAGAAACTCAGAAGCCGTGAGTACAATCCATCTTGGGAAAGGAGGGCCCAAAGCCAGTACCTTGTGTCACTCTTTGCACCCAACGCCCTCACCCTCCCCAGATGAACTCCCGTGCCCTGCATCCATGTGTACTCGGTAGGGCTCCCTCAGCGTCACTCCCGAATGTCCCATCACCATATCGTTACTGGTGCAGTGTCCCAGGAACGTGTGGCACACATGGGGGGTTCGTGTAGGACAGAACTCACATGCACCATTAGCACCGGTCCCAGCCCCGTGTCCGAGCCGTCGGTGAGCACCATGAAGGGTTTGTCAAAGTCTGGCTTCACCAGCACCAGAGCTCTGGTCAGGGCTTCCTTCAGTGCACAGAGAGCCCCTGGCCCGGCTCGGTCCAGCCCACCTCGCCAGGTTCCCCTTTCTCACACAGCTCTGTGATGGGGGCGGTGATGCAGCTAATGTGGGACCCAAGCTTCCAGCAAGGCCCCACCATCCCAATACAAGACTGGACCTGCTTCTTAGTCTGGGGAACCGCCCAGTCTGTCATCCCCTCCACCTTGGCTGGCTCGGGTTTTAAGCAGCCGCTCCCCACCTTATGGCCCATGTAAGACCCCTCCGCCATCCCCACCTTGCACTTCTCAGCCTTTATAGCCAGGCCAGCTCCCTGCAGCCGGCCCAGCACTTGCTAGTCCTGGGACACTTGGTCCTGCTAGGTCCACCAAAAGACAGGAATATATTCAATGTACGCGAGGGCGAAACTCTCCATCCACCCCTCAGCGCTGGTCCACCAGGAGCTAGAATTTGCTTGAAGTCAAAAGGCAGGATCAGGAACTCATAGAGTCCCACAGGGGTGATGAACGCCGATTTCGGCCTGGCATGAGAGCCCAGTGGCAGCTCTCAATAGCCCTTAGTGGGGTATCTCTGCCTCTCAGCTCCGACATGGCCTCCTCATGCTGCCGCTGTCTCTCCCGGCCCTCACGTTCACTCTCACATTCCTGCCACTCCATCTCATGGTCCTGCATCCTTAGTTCTCATTTGATTTCCAGCCACCGCAGCTTCACCGAGGGGAAACCCAGCTTTTATGAACCTCTGCTGGCCAAGTGCAGCCTGAGGCAACCCACAGAGAGAAGTTGAACCAGCAATGCTGACTGTTTGAAA